TCAGCTAGGGCTCCATAGATCTACAACCTTATCTCAAGAAACAAACACTAAAGAACAGGTTCTTAACTTATTGTTCCCAGAAAATGACTTGTGATTCATTCGGATTGATCTGCCTGCCACAGGCGGTCAGTCACCTTTTTTTTTTTTTTAATTTTATTTTATGTGCATTAGTGTTTTGCCGTAGGTTCCAGGTCTCCTGAAACTGGAGTTACAGACAGTTGCAGGCTGCCAGTACATGCTGGGAGCAGAACCTGGGTCCTCTGGAAGAGCCGTCTCTCCAGTCCCATGAGCGGTCATCGTGAGCGTGGAGATGGAAGCACACTGCTGGCCACGGTCCTGGACTGGAGCAGAACATGATCCCAGATTAAACATCCTGGCTGAGAACAAGATGGTGGAAATAGACACTCTTCAAAGGAAATCCGCATACAATCTGTCTGTCTGTCTTTCTCGTTTTCTCCATCCTGTGCTGGGGCATGAACCCAGGTCTTTAAGGTTCCTAGGTAGTAGACCAATCGTCATTAGCGAGGCTTCCTCCAGCAGTTGATGGGAGAAGATGCAGAGCCCCATGGTCAAACATTAGGCAGAGCTTGGGGAACCCCTCAGCCGAGTAGGGGGGAAGGATTGTAGAAGTCAGAGGGATCAAAGACTGTAAGCAGAGACTGCTCGTTCATTTCCCAGCTGCCCATATGTGAATAGTCACACAGAAACCATACTAATTACAACACTGTTTGGCCAACAGCTTATGTATATTTCTAGCTAACTCTTATATCTTAAATTAACCCATTTCTATTAATCTGTGAATCACCATGAGGCTGTGGCCTACCGGTAAGGTTCTGACTGGTGGCTGGCATCTTTCTCCTTCGGCAGCTGCTACATGGAGTCTCTCTAACTCTGCCTACTTTCTCTCTGTATCTCTGTTCGGATTTCCCTCCTGGCTTTACTCTAAGCCATTGGCCAAAGCAGCTTCTTTAATAAACAATGGTAATAAAACATATTCATAGCATACAAAGAAGAATCCCACATATCTCCCCTTTTCTTTCTAAATAAAAAGGAAGGTTTTAACTTTAACATAGTAAAATTACATATAACAAAACATGTATCAAGCAAGAATTGCAGTTACAATATTTATATCTACTTTATCTCTCATCATAACTAAGGAAAACTATAACTATCTATTTTTTAACTTTATTAAACACCCCAGAACGATTACCTAAGTTAACAGAAGTGCACTGTAAGCAACTTCCAAAACTCTAGAATTGACAGAGATATCTTACTGCCTGGACAGTCACCCAAAGTTTTTCTGTAACATTGGGGCATCCTTTAAGAGAGGTCTTCCTGACTCAGCACTGGCAGCAAAGGCCGAAGCAGCTTCTTTATTAACCAATGGTAATAAAATATATTCATAGTATACAGAGGGGAATCCCACATTAGAGGACCCTAGGAGAACACAGCCCACCGAATCAGCTAAGCAGGGCTCAGAGGGACTCACAGAGACTGAAGCAGCAACCTCAGACCCTGCATGGGTCCGAGCTAGGTCCTCTGCATACATGCTGTGGTTGTTTAGCTTGGGTATCAACAGTGGGGGTGGAGGTGTCTCTATTTTGCCTGCTCTTGGGACCCTTTTCTTTCTGCTGGTTTGCCTCATCCAGCTTTGATATGAGATTTGTGGCTTTGTTTGTTTATTTGGTTTTGAGACAGGGTTTCTCTGTGTAACAGCCCTAGCTGTCCTGGAACTAGCTCTGTAGTTCCAGGCTGGCCTCAAACTCAACAGGGATTCACCTGCCTCTGCCTCCCAAGTGCTGAGATTAAAGGTGTGCACTGCTATCGCCAAGACTATCCGACTTGTGCCTAGTCCTATTGCATCTTGTTATGCTGTATTTGGGTGATATCCTTAGGAGGCCTGCTCTTTTCTGAAGGGAAACAGAGGAGGAATGAATCTGAGGGAGAGGGGAAGTATGGGGAATGGAGTTGGGGGGAGTGGAGGGAGGGGAGTCTGCAGTCGGGATGTATTGTATGAGTACCTGGGCTGCATTGCCAGAACACTCCGGCAGTGGCTTACAACCATCAGGATGTCTGAAGCCCTCTTCGGGACTCTTCAAGCACGCACTGCATGCAGGTGGGACATCCAAGCAAAACACCCATACACATAAAACTGAAAACAAACCAAAAACTATATATTAAAAATACGTTGGGGCCAGACAGGGTGGTACACACCTTTAATTCTAGCACTCCAAAGGCAGAGGCAGGCATATCTCTGGGTTTTAGGCTATTCTGATCTACAGAGAAAGTTCCACGACAGCCAGGACTATACAGAAATACTGTCTCAAACAAGCAGACAAACAAACAACATATATGTATCTGAGACCCCTCTTTTCCAGGTTTGGGATTTCTCTGATGACACTGCTTGAAGTATATTCCACTCGGCTCTTTGCTGTTTGATTTCCTGGGGATATCATGTGCAAGGAACCAAGTATGTGCTTGTGTGTACATATGTGTACACACACACACACACACACACACACACACACACACACACACATATATTAGGGCTGTCAAGATGGCCTAACAAATAAAGGCATTTGCAACCAAATCTGATGACTTGAGTTTGATTCCTGGGATTCACATGGTAATACTGACTCTTGAAAGTTGTCCTCTGGGGGCTGGAGAGATGGCTCAGTGGTTAAGAGCACTGACTGCTCTTCCAGAGGACCTGGGTTCAATTCCCAGCACCCACATGGCAGCTCACAACTGTCTGAAGATCCAGTTGCAGGGGATCTGACACCTTCACACCGATGCACATAAAATAAAGTTAAATAAACTGTAAAAATATTTAAAAAAAAAAGAAAGTTGTCCTCTGACAACTTGCACTAAGGTAATACATGACCACACTCACAATACATACATACATACATATCATATCATATCATATCATATACATGTGCATACACACATTTTATCTCATTTGTATTTGGTACTTCTCTTGAGACAGGATCTTGTTGTGTATCCCTGGCTGACCTGGAACTCACTGTGTAGAGCAGGCCAGTTTGGAACTCACAGAGATCTGCCTGCCTCTGCCTCATGAGTCCTGAGTTAAAGGTGTATGCTACCACACCTGGCATACATACATACATGTGTGTGAGTGTGTGTGTGTGTATTCATGGCCTGGGGAAATGGCTTAGTTGATGAAGTTCTTGCCATGGGAACACAAAGACCTGAGCTTGACCTCCCCAGAACTCACTAGAAAAGATGAGCGTGGTAGGGTGGCTTGCGCTCCCACTCCCAGGACTGGAGACATGAAGACAGGTGGATTCCTAAGGACCATGGACCAGCCAGTCTGACTTACTGGGGTGGAGCCGCAGGCCAGTAGGAGCTCCAGTGTGGGCAGTGCCTGAGGAGGACCAAAGCCCGAGGCTGTCCTTGTGCCTCTGCCGACATGCACATACATGCACCTGTCTACAGACATGCACACACGAACACACACATACACATATGCTATGGTTTGCTTGTAGCCGGCACCTTTGCAGAAGGTCACTGCAAGCGTGGTGGAACAGGCGTCTTTAGCAGCAGTTAAGAAGGACCAATGCCTCCCTCACGGTAGACGAGGGTTCTGGAAAACAAGCCCAGTCTCTTTTGCTTTCTGTTTTGTATTTACTCTCTCACCCTTTCACATTCTGTCACCGTCTTAGGGCTTCTGTTGCTGTGAAGAGACACCATTGTTGTGGAAGACTACTTTATTTTTTTATTCTTATTTATTTATTTTTTTAAATTTATTTGTATTTCAACTAACTTGTTTTTAATTTTTTAATAATTTATTTATTTTATTTTATGTGCACAGGTGTTTTGCCTACATATATGTCTGTGTGAATCTGTCAGATCTTGGAGTTACAGACAGTTATGAGCTGCCATGTGGGTGCTGGGAATTGAACCTGGGACCTGTAGAATCTGCGTACTCCTTTCTCTTCTTCTTTCTCTTTCTCTTCCTCTTCCACCCTCTCTCTCTCTCTCTCTCTTTCTCTCTCTCTCTCTCTCTCCTCTCTCCCCACGAGGCCACTCTGCACTCCCTTTCTCTCTCCCCCTCTCACTTCCCTTCCCCCACTTCCTTCCCTTTCCCCAGTAAAACTCCCCACACAAGCTCTGTCCGTCCTTCACCCACCTTGGCTTCCACCCACCTGTCAAGGTCTCTCTGGTGCAGAATCATAACACCTATCTCAAAAACAAAACAAAACGCAGGCGAACAGAAAAGTAGTTAGGGAGGGAGGTGGGCTGGAGAGATGGCTCAGCAGTAAAGAGTGAACACGGCTCTTGAAGAGGACCCGAGTTCAGTTCCCAGCACCCGTGCACAATGGAACACATCCACACTGGATGGAACCCCAGCTCCCGGGGCTCCATCACCGGTGGTCTCTGCAGGCACCTGCACTCCTGTGCACAGACTCACATCATGCACATGCATGTAACTTAAAATAAAATTTCAAAATAGGGGCTGGAGAGAAGCTCAGGATTAAGAGCACCTGCTGCTTCTGCGCAGGGCCCGGGTTCTAGTTCTAGCACCCACTGGTGACTCCCAAGCCTCGGTGGCTGCAGTTTCACAGGATGTGTTTCTTCCTCTGACCTCCCTGAGAATTAAGCATGCATACACGATGCTTACTTAAGCAAAGACAAAACTCACTGTTCTCGTAATCCAGGACGATAGATAGGCTTTCTAGTCTATCTATGCTGGGCCTTGGTGGCACGTGCCTTTAATCCCAGCACTCAGGAGGCAGAGGCAGTCGGACTTCTGTGAGTTCAAGGCCAGCCTGGTTTATAGAGCTATTTCTAGGACAGTCAGGGCTACACAGAGAAACCGTGTCTCAAAAAACAGAAAACAAAAAGAACAGCAACAGCCAAACAACCAAAACCAATGCGATGGAGCGCAAAGGAGAGAGACATGGGGGCCTGAGTCACATGACAAGTGTAGGTGCAAGGAAGCGGATCGATGAGTTTGCTTCCTGGTGGCCGCTGCACCAACAACAATTCAGTCTTCAGCTTGAAGAACAGAAGATGGACTTTGCGAGCGATAATCTGGACGCACCCTCTGCACGTTCTGTTCTGACTTCTTGCGTCGATGCTGCAGCTGAAACGTGTGCCGCCCACCATCGATTCTCATTCCGTGGCAGGGAGTCTTTCGCTTTGCTTAGAAGCTTTCCAGTGAGAATCACAGGCATCACGAGTCACCGTTCACCTGGGCCATCTTCTCTCCCCGCCTCCAGCCATGTTTGCCTGCTCAGCAAACCATAGCTGTGCCGCAGCTCAGCCTTGCCTGCCCCAGCCTCCTCCCGCATTGTTAGCTACCATCACTGGAGTGCATCCAATCCGTCTCCATGACTTATGTCTCTTCCTGATCCTCAAGATCCAACATAATCTATTCCTGCTGCTGTCTCAACCTGAAGGACTCCCAGCCACCTCCCAGCCCTCACTTTTCCTGCACCCTGCTGGGCTCTACAGTTCCCTCTCCTCCTCTCTCCGCAGTCCTCTCTCAGAGAACCATACAACCTGTTCCCCCATTTCCCAAACCAGATGCCTACGGCTAAAGATTCCCCTGATTTCCCATAACTCAGTGGAAGGGCAACATTTCGGACAAAGTCTATTCAGGTTTCTCTTGGGCTCCTAGATTGGGTGACTTTCTCTTGGGGTTTCCATGTGCCTGTCCAGTCCCTGTACCCCACCATCACTGACGCTTTCAGCACTCCGACTTTGTCTGGACTGGACACCATCTGAGGCAACGTCTGTTACTCGCTGGCCAGTTCATTTCTAAGTCGTCCCGATAATTATGTCCTGTTTTCTCTCATGAAGAACCTCACACTCCATGAGGGTTTTTTTTTATTTGCCTGTTTTTGTTTTTTTCAAGGCAAGGTCTTGCTCTCCACCGATTTAGCCTCCAGAATACGACCCTCCCGCCTCGGCCTTCTGGGTGCTGGGATTCCAGGCATGCACAGGTATAGCCAGCAGCTCCACATGGTCTTAAAGAGTTCCTGGGTGGTCTCCTGCTAATGCTTCCCTCACAAAGCTGGGCACGTGGCCAGCTGGGCTAATTACAGCCGCCCACATCCCCAGCAACCGCGCTTTCTAGACCATCAGCTGGACTCTCACGGAGTCTCCCAGGTATGTGAACTAACCCATTCCTTTTCAACGTGAGTTGGGCCCACTGGGTCCCTGCCACTTACAGCTACAAGAGCCCTGACTGAGAGGGAACTCCATAAACGCTTAACAAAGACACTAAGAAACTAGGTGGGCCACCTCCCGGGCCTTCTGCCTGTCCTGTTCCCTCGGAGTGTGGGGAAGTATTTCTGCATGCTTAGAAGGGATTCCATCTTCTGCTTGCACTATGGTTCTTGTACGAACCCTACAGTTACTATGGATTCCAAGCAGCCTGCGATGCACTGTCTCCGAATCTCCCTCGGTTCAGACTGCAGGTCTCTGCATATACCTCACCTACATCTCCCCTCTCTCCAAGGGCTCATTCCCCACCCACTCTGACGGATCCCATCTCCTTACAAAGCTTTCTCGCCCACTCCGGAGGAGCCCAGCCATCTCTTCTGCCGTTATTGTTGCCCCTAAGACAGCCACGCTGAATCACAGCCACGTTGACTCATCCTCCTTCCTCTTCTGGCAGGGTCCCATGAGGCCGAGCTCTGCTCCGTAGCCACCTTTGCAGCGGGGGCTCCGTACACCCACAGCACCCTGTCAGCAAGCACGTGATGAGAGGGAGCTCTCCGGAAGAGGCTTCATTTCCTCCTCCTGGCCCCTCACACCCCGAGGTTTCGGGTTTCAGAAAAGAAGCGAGCCTTGTGACATTTGCCAGGACACTCTTGAGGAATGGAGTGTGGTCACTGTGCACATTGGCTTCTGGGTCCTTAGCGACATGTCCCTATTCCTTTACTGAGCTCTGGACACCCCTGAGGATCTCAAACATCAGGCCCCATTTTCTTCGGTTTTCCACAAGAAGAGATCTAAAGACTGTATGAGAAGGAAGGCCACTGGAGGGCTTCTTTGCTTTCATCCACGTGATAAGTCCTAGGGGCCAGGGGTGCAGGATGAGCGGCAGAGCAGCCAGAGAAGAGGCCCCGAGGAGACTGTGCAAACATGGCATGCAAACATGGCATGATTGTGCCCACATGAAGCTTCCTCACACCAGTGACAGGCAGGGCAGAGGAGAGCTCACCAGTAAAGCATCTGGACTCTACAGTAGCTGTGTGGCCTTAGGCAGCTCGTTTTCTCTCTGTCTCTGATGCACTTCACTGACACAATCTGTAAAATCAGATTGAAAGTAGCACTTACCTCCCGGGGTGGCTATGGGGAATAAATGGATGACTTATACAGCATGCAGCAACTGCTTTGTAATTGCTTGTCTATATAACAGTAGGGCTTTGCATGCTGAAGCTCAATAAGTAGACCCTTTAATAAAAGGACTCCACTATGGGTTTGGAAGTAGAGTACAAACGGGTATGGAACTACTTGGGAGTCGAAAGAATATGGTGAAATTCCTCATGTGTCCACAAGAGGGCACTCTACTTTCCCCCACCACGCCCACTGCATAATGGAACCCATGGAACACCATCTCCTTTGCTCTACATGGGCATCTTCACCAAAGCTGGACCAATCCGGGCCCCAAGTGCTTGACCATGGCTGAATGTTCTTCTGCGTGATGATCAAGAACTCCTACAGTGACTCCTCCAGACTCAGTCTCTGCGTACCCTGGAGTACACACCCTCCCCCGCCGCTGACCCAGTTTTTCTGAATATCCAGCAGGGCTGTCAGTATACTGGAGAGAAGGACATCAGCTGTTTCCACATCTGGACCTGCTGGTTTCTCATTGTCCCCCTCCCACGCAGAGAGTCAGGGGTCTCCGCTGGCCTTACCTAGGGGGTGCTCATAATTTGGATCCTTGGCATCATAGATATGGCTCCTGCTTCCCTGAATGCCTAATCCTGAATACAGTCTGGGAATGGTCTCCTGCGTGTAGCACTGCTCCTCCCCCTGGATTTCCAGAGAGGGCTGTGAGAGGGGTGGAGGTAGGAGTGGGGGTGGGGGAGATAAAAAAAAACCCTTGACCTGCTCCAGACAGGCTTAGCGCAAAAGTGGGGTGCAGCAGTCAGGCCTAGAGACTGATGGAGCAGAAAGCTCATACCTGACAAGGGACCCTGCTGCTCCAGGGTCCCCCTACTGAGTAGGAGAGATGGTGGAAGACAGGGAAGGAAGGTCACACAAATCCACCTCCCACAGAACAAGCCCAGGATCGCCTCTCCCGAAGCGTGCATCCAGGAAGGGGCAAAACCACTGCTGCTGTCCTGATCCTTCCTCAGATCTGCAAGTATCGAGGATGGAAGGGCCGAGGGAAGACAGCCCAGGCCCCACTGCTCTCATCGCCTCCCTGAGAATGGGTGTCCTGGACGCTAAGCTGGGGAGGGTGGTGCAGGGTAAATGAACAGAAGGAGAGAGAGCTAAGGGCCCTGAAGGCTGCAGGTGAGAAATACCTCCTAGTTCCAAAAACTTGACTGCGAGTTTGGCGGGGGCAGGATCAGATAAGATGGAGTGAGCTATAGCCCATCATCGCCCCTGACAATGATGGAATCCCAAGAGATGGTGGTCACTGTCCCCAGAAAAGATACTCTCCACGTTGTGGTTGATTGATCCCCTTCTGCAGTTACAGAGCCCAGGGCTATGGAGAGTCTTGCCCCATTCACCTCAGAGAGAAAGTTCTGGAAAAAACAGACCAAAGTACAGATACCACTAAAATTCAACTTGATAAACTATGAGTGTTATTGGGGTTACTTACAGGAATGGGGTGGGGGTTACTCAAAGACAGTTGAATCCCTCAGCATGGGTGACAGCACACAAGCTGGGAACCTGGAGCACCCTGCACAGCCTGAGGCAGCTCAGCAGGCCGGAGAGTGTCCTTTCCCTGTGCCTCAGTTGGTCCAACCCCCTCCCAGCAGCACAGCTGGTTTCTACTTCTTCCCAGCTTCACCTGCCTGAGAGGAATTCTCAGTTTTCACTGCATCCTCTGCAGGGAGGGGCCTGGTGAACCTGGCCGGTTTCAGGGACTTCCTGAAGCCATTTTGAGTTGTTTGCCTTCCTGCCCAAGGAGATTTCTAGAGGATGAGATGTTTCAGTCTGGGAGGAAACTGATTTACAACAGGTGTTCCTGGAGAGGGCATGTGACCAGGACACCCAGACCCTCAGGGGGCTGCAGCACCCAGATGAGGACACTGCTCCTAAGAGCAAGAGGAGGGGCTCAAGGACCATAGCCTAGAATCATCCCTGTTTCTCTCTCTACCCGGAAGTCCCGCCCATACCTCTGGCCTAGCTATTGGCCATTCAGCTTTTCAACACTTATCAATAGCAATACATCTTCACACACAACACACATTTCTCCTCCTGAAAGCAGGCACGCCAAGACAGTTTCTCTACAGGCTGTCAGTATTTTCTCTGCAGTTTCCAGAGGGAGGAGACTGAAGATGCTGGACTGAGAAAGACTGTCACACAGTGCCCGAGAGACTGCTAGGGAAATAGGGACTTGTGGAAGCAGTCAGCGGCCTCCAGATCTCTATTCTTGCAGGCATTGACCCGTAATCACATGGGTATTGGTAGAACTAACTACCTGGGAGCCTTCCGAAGGCAAGTCTGGGCTCTTGGTAGCCCCACTCCGGTTTTTGTAGACAGAAAGACCACCTTTCAGAGGCCTGCCCACCCTGGGCTTGTATTCTGGTGAGGAGGTTGAGATGGGTAGGTAACAACACAGAACAATAACAGGATCCTGGGCTGGGACGAGCATTGGCCTGGGCATCAGGGCTCTTGGCGTCTACTTTTTTCTAAAAAGAGATGACCGTGTATAACAGGAAATCTGGCACAGGGTTAGCAGAAACCCCAGGGAGGGGGGCTCCCTCAGTCGAGGCGAGCGGCCTTAGACGTCAATGGTCAGCATCACATCTTAGGTCCCTGGAGTTAGAGCAATCAGAGCTTGAGGGGTTGGTTCGTCGTTGTCTCAGAAGCTATGACCTGCGATACTCCCAGAACCTATTCCCTGCTCCTTACACTTCTTTTCCAGATGAATGTGATCCCTGTTACAGAAAGAAATGCGAGGCTTGAAAAAGCTTCAGTAACTCGACCAAGCAAGGAATCAGTTCATGCCAATAAATAAATAAATATTCATCTGTTAGCAGGTTATATGAACTTGGGTTCGTATGTTTTGTTACACTCAAATGTTTGGGGTGTGTGCATGTGAGTGTGCACACGAAGGTGCATATGTAGGTATGTGAAAGCTGGTGCAGGGGCCATCAAAGGCCAGAAGGCGCCAACCCCCAGAGCTGGAGCCACAGATGTTGTGAGCCACCTGATACGGGTACAAGAAGCAGAACTCAGGTCCTCTGAAAAAGTGGCAAGTGCTCTTAACCATCAAGCCATTTGCTTGTTAGTTAGTTTCCTTTCAGACAGGGTGCCGTGTATCCCAGGGTGGCTTCAAACTTACTATGTAGCTGGGATGACTTTGACGTTCTGGTCCCCCACAAATAAAAAACAGAAAACTTCATCCAGGATTGGTGCACACCTATAAACCCCAAACTTGACACTGAGGCAGGAGGATTGCCACAAGTCAAGCCAGCTGGAGTCACATGGAGAGTTTCAGCTAGCTTGGGCTAAATAGTAAGACCCTATCTAAACACAGACAGACGGACAGACAGACAGGCAGACCAAGTGTACCTATGCACTCTTCTAATTCTAGCACCCAGAAGCTGAGGCAGGAGAATCCATGTGGGTTAAGACCCTGCCAGGCATGGTGGTAAATGCCTTTAACCCCAGCACAAGGCCCTAGGTTCAAGCCCCAGTCCCTACCAGGACACAGCAAAACCTAAGTAAAACTATGCTTTTTTTCTTTTTGGGGGTGGGGTGGTTTCGAGACAGGGTTTCTTTGTGTAACAGTTCTGTCTGACTTGGAACTTGCTTTGTAGACCTCCTGGCCCAAAACTATGCTCTCAAAGCTCCTTATGGTACACACTCCACTTGCCCTCAGGAAGTGGAGGCTGGTGGACAGCCCACGTGATCTGATTGTCCAGGATCATCGGTGTCCAGCAGGGAGAGACTCCTGCTATCTCTGCTGTTTCCAGAAAGCGTCACACCCACCTCTAGACACCAACCATCTGCTTCCCACATCACGTGCTCTGGAGAATTCTGGAGAATTCTGGGTCCACCAGGAAAAGAGCACAGGAGAAGTCGGGTCACCACTGAGGCTTTTACACAGGCCACCCCTGGGTAGTCCCAAGTCACTGGCAAAGATGCTGGGACTGGAACAAAGTGAACACCTGAGCAGCAACTGCGGGGTTGAGGGACGTGTCCGCTGTCCATGGTTCTGGCCAGTCAAGGGCTATGACTCTAGCTATGCCCTGAGGCCGGAGAATCAGAAAGGGGTGGGGGTGGGGGTGGGAATGTGTGTGTGGGGTGGGGGTTGTCTAGCCCACCACACGAACCTCATCTCCCCAAGATGCAGCATCCTGAGAGTCGCGTACTGGGCTGAGCTTGATGGGGAGGTGAGTCAACTCCACAGAAGGCCAAAGCAAAAGGTGCCAGCGGACTTTCAAAGAGCAGGAACCCTACCCATCTCTCTTTCTGACCACGATCCAATTATATTAAAAATTTAATAATGAAGACAAACATTAATCACCATATATATGAAAATGAGAACACCTCTGAATCATCCATGGGTCAAAGAAGGAAGCAGAGTGGAAATTTTGAAAAGCTTAGTATTGAACTTGAAATGGTAAAATGTTACAAAAATCCTTCTTCCTAACAACTGACCAACAGAGTAAAATCATGATCAGCTCCACAGATGCAGAGACTATTTTTCAATTCAATGTTAATTTGTGTTTTTAAGAAACAACATTTTTCTCGCCTATAAGACGTGCTGGGACAAAGGTGACGCAGAAATTATGGGAATGGCCAACCAGTACAGCTTGAGACCCGGACGATGAGAGGGCACCCATCCTTGAGGACCAGGACCCAGAGGCTGGGCAGCCTGAGACCTAGGAGAGAACCAAACATGACTGGAAAACTGGCAAGAAAAAAAGAAAAAAAAAGTCAATGAAATGAGTTCTAATTCCTAATGATATTCTGCTATCCTCACAGATTGTTGCCCAGCCAAGTTGTCATCAGAGAGGCTTCACCCCGCGACTGATGAAAACAGATGCAGAGACCCACAGCCAAAGATTAGCGAGCTCAGAGCATCCTGCGGAAGAGGGGGAGAAGCCAGAGAGATCGAGGACACCACAAGAAAACCCACGGAATCGAGGACAATCTGGTCTACAAGAGCTAGTTCCAGGACAGCTAGGGCTGTTACACAGAGAAACCCTGTCTTGAAAAAACCAACAAACAAACATAAAGGAAAACCCACAGAATCAACTAACCTGGGTTCATAGAGACTGAACCGACAAACAGAGAACTTGTATGGAACCGAACTAGGTCCTCTGCATGTAATGCCGTAGTTGTGTAGCTTGGCCTTCTCGTGGATCTCCTGGCAGAGGGAGCAGGGGCTGCTATGACTCTGTTGCCTGCTTTAGGGATCCTTTCCTTGTACTGGGTTGCCTTGTCCAGCCTCAATAGGAGAGGAAGTGCCTAGTCTTACTGCAACAGGATAGGCCATGACGCTGGTAGACATGACGGGTTTGATATCCAGCACTACAAAAGGGGGGAAAGACAAAGGGGAAGGGAACAACATCTTGGTGGAGTATATTAAAAAACTTTCATTTTTTAAAAGATTTGTTTCATTTTTATTTATATGTCTCTGTGTGTGCTTATGCGCACATGCACACGGGTGTCCGTGGAAGCTAGAGGAGGATGCTGGCTCCCTGGAGCCAGAGTACAGCTGGCTGTGAACTGTCTGGTGTGGCTGCTGAGAATGGAACTCTAACTGCTCTTAGCTTCTAAGCAGCCATCAGTCCCAAGAACGTTCTAACCCGAGAAAATATGTCTATAGAAACTCTCTGTGAGATGTCATTAATATTTTTCTTATTTATGTGCATTGTTGTTTTGCCTGCATGTGTGTCTGTCTGTATAAAGGTGTTGAATCCCCTGGAACTGGAGTTATAGACGGCTGAAGCTGCCATGTGGGTGTTGAGAACTGAACCCGGGTCCTCTGGAAGAGCAGCCACTGCTCTCAATGGTAGAGCCCTCTCTTCACTCCACTCTGGGTCACTTTAGATGGGAGAAACATTGTCATCCTCTTAGCCCAAGGAACTGGTGGGCTAGAGGAGGCCGTGAGCCAGTGAATTCAGTTAATTTGGCAGCTTTTGTTGTTTTTGTTGCTATTTTGTTTGGTCAAGACAGGGTCTTGTGTAGCACAGGATGTCCTCAGACCCACTGCTGGAGATGACCTTGTACTTCTGATCCCCCTGCCTCTACTTCTCGAATGCTGAGATTACCAGCCTGTGCCATTACTCCTGATTGATTCGGTGCTGAGGAGCAAACCCAGGGCTTACCGGTGCTGGGTAAGCGTTCCACTCCCTAAGCTCCGTCTTCAGCTCCTAGCTCAATGTCTGTTTAAGAGCTAGAAACTCACTCCCAGTCTGGTGTGGAAGGATTATCTGTCAATCATGTATTTCAATTGTATTCTGTCAATCATGTATTTCAATAAAACGCTGATTGGCCAGGCAGGAAGTATAGGCAGGTCAACCAGACAGGAAGTAGAGGCGGGGCAATGAGAACAGGAGAATTCTGGAAAGCAGGAAGCTTCCTCTGCCACTCCTGCACAGACCACCAGAGAAGCAACATGTAACCTGCCCAGCTGAAAAATGTACCAAGCCATATGGCTAACATAGATCAGAATAATGGGTTAATATAAGCTATGAGAGTTAACAAGAAGCCTGACCAAATGGGCCAATCAGCTTTATAACTTATAGAGATCTCTGTGTGATTGATTTTCCTTGGGACTTGCTGGCTTGTTGGGGTGCTGGGCGGGACAGAAACCCCAACAAGCCGGCCCTCATGTTACACCAGTCCTATGGCATAAAGTTCCCATCTACCTATTTCAGAATAAACAGTACAGCGAAATGCCCTCAGAAAATGAAGGTATTAACAAACATCTCTTGCTTGTTTGAGATAAAATGTTTTTATGCTTCTGGCTCACTCTGTGCCATCCAGCCACATTATAATAGGCAGCTTTTATTTCAAATCTTGTTTAAAAAAGAATCTCCTGTCATTCCAGTACTGGGGAGACAGGAAGACAGTGAACTCAGTGAGCTCAAGGTTGGTGGGGGCTACATAGTAAGACCCTGTCTCAAAAAAATGCATGGTGTTTTATAGTCATATTCGAATTCTGGAAGCTCCAGTCAGTCAGTAAGGCAAGGCAACCAAAAAGAGGCTGGGGGGATAGCTCAGCGGTGGCCGGCTTTCCCAACATGGCAGACTAGGGAGAGAGCTCAGCCGTGGCCGGCTTTCCCAACACGGCAGACCCTGGGTCAGAGCTCTAGCACTAAGAGAGAACAGGAAGGAGAGATGGGAAAAGGCACCACAGTGGCACACGCTTACAATCCCAGCATTTAGGAGGTGGTTGAGACAAGAGGATCATGAGTTCAAGGCCACCCTCACACACTAAATAGTGAAGCCCGTCCAGTCTGTCTCAAAAGGAGAGAGGATGCTGGGCACGGTGGTACCCACTTTTAAACCCAGCACTCTGGAGGCAGATGGAGTTCTGTGAGTTTGAGGTCAGCCAAGGTTACATAGCAAGACCCTGTCTCAAAAAGAAGAAGAAGAAGAAGAAGAAGAAGAAGAAGAAGAAGAAGAAGAA